TGTTATCTCTTGCCTCTTATCATAGCCTCCTAACTGATCTCTGACCTACTCCTTTGTTCTTATCACAACAGCGAGAATGATCTTTTTAAAAATGTAGGTCATATCAGGTCACTCCTCTGCTCAAAATATTCCAGTGATTTCCCTGTTTCCTTACAGTAAAAGTTGAAGTCCTTAAAATGATCTATAAGACCCTACATAATCTTATTCTAATACTTCTCTGACATTTCTCCCAATATTCTCCCAATATTCTACCCCCTACTCAGGCCATGCTGGCCCTCTTAACTGTTTCTGTCACATACCTCCTCTCAACTCACCTTAGCATTTGATGTTTTGCTTGGTGTGTTCCTCCCACATTTTCAGCTTGGCTCATTCCTTCAAAAGGTAAAAGATTTTACCTTTTAAATGGGTCCTTTCCTGACCACCCTCTCTAAAATTACATTTCTCTAAAAGTAAAATTGAGGAGTCAAAGAGCATAAGCATTTGTGTTTTGATAAATATTAAAATATTACCAAATTACTTTCACCAATTATGTATGAGTATACAAGTTTTCCCCATAACCTGGCCAACTGAGGCCATTAGCAACTTCTGAATTTTTGACAATCACAGTGTAGTTTTAATTTTCATTTCTTCTCTTATGAGGGAGTTTAAATATCAATTTAAGAGCAATTTGTTTTTCCATTTCTGAAAACTGGAAGTTCATATCCTTTGTCCACTTTTCTAAGGATGTTGGTCTTTCTCTTATGTATTTGTAGAAGCTCTTTGTATGCTGTGGAAATGAACACCTAGTCTGTCATATGAGTTAGAATAAAATTTTCCCAGTTTGTCATTTGTTTTTGACTTTATTTATGGTGCATTCTTCCATGCAGAATTCTTAAAAATTGGAAGTCTAATTCATTGATATTTTCTTTTATGGATTCTGAGTATAGTGTCATACCATGAAAGGCCATACCATATCTCCCACCTGAGATAATTTTTTTATCATCCTTTTTTTTAACATTTAAATCTTTTATCCATCTGGAATTCATTTTGTTACAGGATGTGAGCTACGGTTCCAATTTTATTGTTTTTCCAAATGGCCAACCGTTTGTCCTAACAATTGCTCTGATTTATTGAATGCTCTGTTTTCTTCATTGACATGAAATGCCACTCAGGAGATTCTTAGGCAAACTTTAATGGCCGTGAACTTAAGTTGATGTAACACTGTTTTCTCTTTGTGAAACCTCTGCTGGCAGGCAGAGACCTCAGACTTGCCACTGAGAGCTGCAAACAGGTCAAACCTGTAAAATGCTGAAAGCCCACACCCAGTAAATGAATACATTATGTCTTCAAATTGTAGCTTGAAATGTTGTGAGCACATGATTCTCATATACTTAGTTGCTCCACCCCACCTACATTCTTTCCAATAATGCTAAAAGGTGGCAGGAAAAGAGTCACATGGTTTTTGGTTGTTTGTTCAATATGTGAAGAAAACCAGAACTTAATATTTGCAAATCACTTTGAACTGCGGAGGAGGGCACTGCTACTGTAATCCTCATGTTACCTTTTATACATCAAGCATGTTGTAACAACAGCATTCTGGGCTTAATGAGGTTTTATTCTAATTAGTATAAATTCATCTTTGTTCAACTAGCTGTGAAACCAGGTCACCAGGTGTAGATTATGAGGGTCAAAATTTGGGGGGCTGGAATGAAATTTTTCAGAATTGATGATGTCGTATGAGACCATTAAAGCCAGTTCACCTGGCACCTACCTATTAGGATGTTTTTAAAACTAGGACACATATGTATTGTTCAGTGATAATTATACTGATAATGCTGATACTAAGATCCTGCAAAATACTGCTATAGCTTTTGAATTAAGTGCTGACTCATAAAAAATAATTATGAGATGGGCGCCTGGGTGGCTCAGTTGGTTAAACGACTGCCTTCGGCTCAGGTCATGATCCTGGAGTCCCGGGATCGAGTCCCGCATCGGGCTCCCTGC